TCCTATACAACACTAGACGATAAGACGCGGTGTAACTGGGTGTGTTCAGATAGAGGGCCTCTTGCGCTAATTTCTACATGATATTTATAATTCTAAACATCTAAAAATGTATTCTTTAAATAAAAATCTGAATCAAGGTATGTTGTATTTTATCCTAAAACTATAATGGCAGATTTCCAAGTCCTTGAAATGTATATTTAGGAATTAGTAAATCAGACTTTCTTTATTTTTCTATAAGTATCTATGTATAGTGGTTTATGTTTCTAGAAGCATTGTATTTTGAGAAATGTTTATCTTCTATAAATGGTAGCCCTGGACGATGCTCATACACTCCCTGAACTAAAAAAGAAAACATATATTCTTAAAGTTTTAAAAACATATCATTAATTTTTTTTTTAAATACAGGTGCAATTATAAAAACTTGTATCATGAACAGATTTTGATCAATCGGTTTCTTTGTTAAAAATGTACCCAAACTTTTCCCTCGCTCCTGAACTATATTACACAAGCACCAGTGATTGTAGACAAGCACCACTGTGATGGTAGACAAGCACCACTGTGATGGTAGACAAGCACCACTTGGATGGTATAGAAGCACCATTGGGATGGTATAGAAGCACAACTGGGATGGTATAGAAGCACAACTGGGATGGTATAGAAGCACCACTGGGATGGTATAGAAGCACCACTGGGATGGTATAGAAGCACCACTGGGATGGTATAGAAGCACCACTGGGATGGTATAGAAGCACCACTGGGATGGTATAGAAGCACCAATGTGTTGGTAGACAAGCACCACTGTGATGGTATAGAAGCACCACTTGGATAGTATAGAAGCACCACTGTGATGCTATAGAAGCACCACTGGGATGGTATAGAAGCACCACTGGGATGTTATAGAAGCACCACTGGGATGGTATAGAAGCACCACTGGGATGGTATAGAAGCACCACTGGGATGGTATAGAAGCACCACTGGAATGGTATAGAAGCACCACTGGGATGGTATAGAATCACCACTGGGATGGTATAGAAGCACCACTGGGATGGTATAGAAGCACCACTGTGATGGTATAGAAGCACCACTGGGATGGTATAGAAGCACCACTGGGATGGTATAGAAGCACCACTGGGATGGTATAGAAGCACCACTGGGATGGTATAGAAGCACCACTGGGATGGTATAGAAGCACCACTGGGATGGTATAGAAGCACCACTGGGATGGTATAGAAGCACCACTGGGATGGTATAGAAGCACCACTGGGATGGTATAGAAGCACCACTTAATAAACGATCACACGCTTTTTTCAGAAAGTCTAAAATTTATTGAAATTCTAATGTACCACCCCGTTAACCACACACTGCCCCACACCAATAACCCACACACTTTCAAACCATTAACCACACAATGGCCCACACATTTAAACCACAGAATTTCCCATGCCTGTAAACCACACAACTTCCAACACATGTAAACCACACAATTTCCAACACATGTAAACCACACAATTTCCAACACATGTAAACCACACAATTTCCAACACATGTAAACCACACAATATCCCTCACTCGTAAACCACACAATATCCCACACCCGTAAACCACACAATATCCCACACCCGTAAACCACACAATATCCAACACATGTAAACAACACAATATCCCTCACCCGTAAACCACACAATATCCCACACCCGTAAACCACACAATATCCAACACATGTAAACCACACAATATCCCTCACCCGTAAACCACACAATATCCCACACCCGTAAACCACACAATTTCCAACACATGTAAACCACACAATATCCCTCACCCGTAAACCACACAATATCCCACACCCGTAAACCACACAATATCCAACACATGTAAACCACACAATATCCCTCACCCGTAAACCACATAATATCCCACACCTGTAAACTACACACTGTCCCACACAGGTAAATCATACAATGTTAGATTTTCTTTAAAAAAATAGATAGCTTAACTCATAGTTCCGTATATTTAAAGAATATGGTCCTGTTAAAGTAAAGTGCATGCCAAAATGAAACCCGTGACGTAATCGGGTTTAGAGACGTTGATCTTAACCTATAACATCTTCCTCAAGACAAAACTTCAACTCGCCCTTATAATGGTAAAAACATAAAATGGTAAAAAATATAAAATGGTAAAAAACATAAAATGGTAAAAAACATAAAATGGTAAATTTACGGAGTTAAATATTAAATTAACATTATATCTGTACCAATTTCCACTAAAATTGTACAATGATTTGGACAGCACTTTCTTATCTTAACTTACCACTAAAATTGTACAATGATTTGGACAGCACTTTCTTATCTTAACAATGTTTAAAACTAAGTTGCAATTCTTTCTTTTCAACATTTAGTAACTTGCATTTTTTTTTACACATAAAGACATGAAGCTTTAAGTTTGTTTGTTGGATATGTTGCGTATGGTGTGTTAAAACAATAATAATTATTATTATAAATTTAAATTTTAATCAATAAATAATCTAAACCATTTATATAAAATAAAATCAAAATACTAACAGTTCTTTAAGAATCCCAATTAGATTTAGGAATTTTATCTTGAACAAAAATGTGCCCGCTGTTAGGTGCAGTACTAGGGTATTTTGATATTGTACAATACTGAACTCAGTGATAGATCGTGTTTTTTTAGCGTATTTTTATTTTTTGTTATAGCCCGCTAAACAATAAGGGTCACCATTGCGTGAACCTCCAAGCTTCTAAAAGTGACTTGACAAAACGTACTTTTAAGTGACGCACTTAATAAGATTCACAATTAATCCTAACCCCCCCCCCCCCCCCCCAACCACACCACCCCCCACCACACTTCGGTATTTTAAAGTATTTCATTTAGCGCAACTAGCAGGAGGTTGTCTTTTTTTGTTTTGCTCGCTATTGAACCTTGCCATTAGTGACAGATCCATTGAAAATTATGTAGGCTATTGAACATTGCCGTTAGTGACAGACCCATTGAAAATTATGTAGGCTATTGAACCTTGCCGTTAGGGACAGATCCATTGAAAATTATGTAGGCTATTGAACATTGCCGTTAGTGACAGATCCATTGAAAATTATGTAGGCTATTGAACCTTGCAGTTGGTGACAGTTCCATAGAGAATTATGTAGGCTATTGAACCTTGCCGTTAGTGACAGATCCATTGAAAATTATGTAGGCTATTGAACCTTGCAGTTGGTGACAGTTCCATAGAGAAGTTAATCTGTGGGATCATACGAACGGACAGCATTATGAAAGTGCTAAATTTACCTAACCACAAAGCCCTTGTTGAGCTGGCCACCATCAGTATTCCAAAAAAGTATTCAGAGAGAATTACTTGGGGCAGTTTGACAAGATAGACTCTCTGATCAATGAGAACGGGACAGCAGATAATTTTGAATTCTTTGGAGAGTACATGGCCCATGACAGTAACTTTCATATTAATAAGACACGAACAGATTGTGTCAATAGAACAATATGAGTTAGCTTTAATAATAATTGTACATTATACAGAATTAAACGTTTCGGCACATGCCTTCATCAGTACAAACAAACACAACACATTTAAATAAGTATAAATTAAATTTACATAATGTCAATATATATATCCTACCTAAAACAGAAAAAATATAGGAGAGGGCGCTTAAACCTGACAAAAACAAAGTAAAGAGATGTAGAAAGGAAGTGATTCAAACATAATTGGAAAAACCAAACAGGAAAAAGACATGGCAGCTAAGTAAAACTATGGATTTGGTTCAATCCATATGGAGACAACGTACCAAATCTAGTTATTAATTTGTTCTCCATATAGATTCTATCTGCAGTGTTACTAGTATAGAGTATACCAGTAACTACAATATCTGAGATACCATTATGGTTAGGGCTATTGAAATGTTTGGAGACCGGACAGAGAGCGTGTTTATTTATGTTATAGAGGTGCTCTCTGAAACGGTCCCCAAGGCGACGACCTGTCTCTCCTATGTATAGTTTACCGCACTTTTTGCAAATGATGGTGTAAATCACGTTGCGACTTGTGCAGGTAAAGCCATCTTTTATTCTGAATACTCCCAGAGGGAAAGTGATCGTATCAGTTTCGATCACATAGGGACATGAGTTGCAACGGCTACGGTTGCAACATTTTGTGCCTTTATATGCTTTAATAGCAGGGAGGTGGCTTCTAACTAGCATGTCCCTAAGGCTCTTGTCCCGCCGGAAAGCGAAAAGAGGAGGTTTTCTAAAAATCGCATTTGTGACAGGGTCCGCCATAAGAATGGAGCGGTTTTTAAGAACCAGAGAGCGAGCTTTTAGGTTGTGGGGATGAAAAGTTAAGATAAATTTAGACCTATCGCTAGTGTCAGAATGAGTAGCTTTAAAAGAAGCCTGTCTAGTCATACCTTTAACTCGAGTGACAGCTGCTTTTAAAATTTCTTCGGGGTATAATCTGCGTCGGAAAAAATCCAACATTTCAGACATTCTTTCTCCAAAATCTTCTTCATTACTACATAGTCTTCTGAGTCTCAGCAACTGAGAAAATGGGATGGAGTTTTTACACCATTGAGGGTGGGATGATGAATATAGCAAGAAGCTATGACTGTCTGTTTGTTTATAAAAAATGGACGTAGATATTTTGTTCTCATGAAGGTTAATTCGTAAGTCCAAAAAATTGATGGTGCTTTTATGGATCATTGAAGTGAATTTAATTGTTGGATGAAAATTTCCAATGAAGTAAATAAAACTTTCTAGTTCTGTTATGTCCATATTAGTAATCCCTATACAATCAGTAACTTTCAGGATGCGTCAATCATTCTCGCCAGTTCTACTCCTTGACCCTGGCCGATGAGGAGGAGCACCAGAAGGGTTACATCTTCAATTTGATAGTTGATGGCATCAGGCGAGGGCAACTGCCCAGCACAATAGTATCAATGCACCTTGGGACATATTGGCACCGGCAGATATTAGAGGAACCAGGACCCCACTTTCCAGGGGCAGAGGAAACATTGTCAACTCTACGCTCCTATGTGTACAAGATTGCACTCCCTCCAGACAGACACGAGATTGTGGAGATCGGACGTTCATCGCAACAGTTGATGAATGAGACCCGAGTAAAGAAAGCAGAAAACTTCAGGATTCCTTCCCTTGCCCAAGTAAGAAAGAATTCCTTCTCTGCCAACGTCTGCTTGTTTGAGATAATCATACAGCACCAAGAGCCGCAGGTTATGATGAAAGGTAGGTCTTATTTGAAACTCTATGGGATCCGCATGGGCTTCCTGTGCTACCTGCTGCGCTATTTCTTGAAGTTGAACTGGCAGCGAAATCTGTACTTGCACCCCGAAGAGTTTTTTGTGCTGGCGGCATGGACAATGGCCTGTCATGAGCCAAGGCGCTTTCATTTGTTTAAGTTCGTGCCCGGTGTTCGATGTGTGACGGTGTAAAACTGGTTTCAGTCCCTTTACAGGCACGCCTACGCATTCCTTGGTAATGTGCTTGCTCATGAGTTCCCAACACCCAAGGAACTGTTTTCAGGAGGGACATTTGTAGCACTGTACATGTCCTGTTCAATTCTAGCTGTAAATCCTGAAGCAAGACAAAGGCTCCCAGAAAATGTATGTCTTGAGGACTTTAAACAAGTCAAAGGCTTAGTGCAACAGATAGTCGGCTCATCCTAAGACAAGTGATCCGTTGATTATTTCCATTTGATGGATGCTGATTAAGTTGTTTGTGCTTTGACCGACTGGCAAAAAGAGACTCTCGACCAGTTTACAAGACACTGCTAATTTTGTATTTGTTCATTGGATGCAAATCCATTTTTGAAAAAATAAACATTTTTGGATATATTTATTTTAGCCTTCATTGGCTCATTGTTTTTATAGTTCACTTTTCAAGAATTTTGTTTGTGATTATAAAAATAACAAAACTACTATGCTTCTGAAATGAAATCTAAATACAATATAAATCTGACATTACTGAGAGCTTGAGTTGAAAAGATATTCCAAACCTCTGTCATTCAAAGAAGCCAAGCAAGGTGCTGGATGGCCGAGCGGTGTAAACTGACTCCATCCCAGTAGCTGGTGGTCTGGAGTTCAATCCCCACCAGCCCACCAAAGCCAACATTCCAAGCACCCCGGGTGGATGGGACTCGGCAGCCTTGGAAGGCAACTCATCTAAGAGAAGGCAAACTCTGAATTCAAACCAGGAGCCAAAAATGATCAATAAATTGATCGTGGGCCCTCAAATATGAAAAGAAAAGAATTATGTAGGCTACTGAACCTTGCCGTTAGTGACAGATCCATTGAAAATTATGTAGGCTATTGATCCTTGCAGTTGGTGACAGTTCCATGGAGAATTATGTAGGCTATTGAACCTTGCCGTTAGTGACAGATCCATAGAAAATTATGTATGCTTATGAACCTTGCAGTTACTGACAGATCAATAGAGAATTATGTATGCTATTGAACCTTGCGGCTAGATACAGATCCATAGAGAATTATGTATGCTATTCAACCTTGCAGTTAGTGACGGATCCATTGAGAATTACGTTATAACTAGTTATACCTCGCCAAAAATTGGAGACAGCAATGCGGGAACTAAAGTTACTTTACAAAACAATAACTCAAATAACACACATAGAAAAAATCCGAATTTTGCTAAACCCCTTCCCTTAATGAAAGGATTAAAAACATACAAACTAGGATTAAGAACACATAGAAACTAGGATTAAGAGCACATAGAAAATAGGATTAAGAACACATAGAAACTAGGATTAAGAAAACATAGAAACTAGGATTAAGAGCACATAGAAACTAGGATTAAGAACACATTGAAACTAGGATTAAGAGCACATAGAAACTAGGATTAAGAACACATAGAAACTAGGATTAAGAACACATTGAAACTTGGATTAAGAGCACATAGAAACTAGGATTAAGAACACATAGAAACTAGGATTAAGAACACAAAGAAACTAGGATTAAGAGCACATAGAAACTAGGATTAAGAACACATTGAAACCAGGATTAAGAGCACATAGAAACTAGGATTAAGAACACATAGAAACTAGGATTAAGAAAACATACAAACTAGGATTAAGAACACATTGAACTTGGAATTAAGAACACAGAGAAACTAGGATTAAGAACACTTAGAATTTAGGATTAAGGACACATTGAAACTAGGAAAAGAACACTTTGAAACTAGGACTAAGAACACATTGAAACTAGGATTAAAAACACTAGAAACTGGGATTAAGAACACTAGAAACAAGGATTAAGAACACAAAGAAACTAGGATTAAGAACACAAAGAAACTAGGATTAAGAACACATTGAAACTAGGATTAAGAACACAAAGAAACTAGGATTCAGAACACAAAGAAACTAGGATTAAGAACACAAAGAAACTAGGATTAAGAACACTAGAAACTAGGATTAAGAACACATTGAAACTAGGATTAAGAACACAAAGAAACTATTATTAAGAACACATTTAAACAAGGATTAAAAACACATTGAACCTAGGATCAAGAACACATTTAAACAAGGATTAAGAACACATAGAAACTAGGATTAAGAACACATAGAAACTAGGAGTAAGAACACATAGAAACTATTATTAAGAACACATTTAAACAAGGATTAAGAACACATTGAAACTAGGATCAAGAACACATAGAACTCAAGATTGAGACCACATAGGAAACCAGGATAAAGGACCCCAGATTTTAAGAGGAATAAGATCCACGATTTTAGAAAACAAGCATATGCGATACTATAGACAGTACCAATAACCCATGTTTCCAAGATATACATTTTGGAAGAGTTGTCTCTCTAAAGTGAAAGCTGCTGCTTTTTTTTAAATTCAATGAAAAGTTGTCTAATTAAATAGATTTAATGTTTGCTAATTAAATAGATTTAAATGTTTGCTAATTAAATAGATTTAAATGTTTGCTAATTAAATAGATTTAAATGTTTGCTAATTAAATAGATTTAAATGTTTGCTAATTAAATAGATTTAAATGTTTGCTAATTAAATAGTTGTAAACGTTTGCTATTTAAATAATTTTTAAAGTTTGATAATTAAATAATTTTAAAAGTTTGCTAATTAAATAGTTGTAAATATTTGCTAATTAAATAGTTGTAAAAGTTTGCTAATTAAATAATTTTAAAAGTTTGCTAATTAAATAGTTGTAAAAGTTTGCAAGTTTGCTAATTAAATAATTTTAAAAGTTTGCTAATTAGATAATTTTAAAATTTAGCTAATTAAATAGTTTTAAAGTTTGCTAATTAGATAGTTTTTAAAGTTTGCTAATTAAATAGTTTTTAAAGTTTGCTAATTAAATAGTTTAAAAGGTTTTTTCATTAAATAGTTAAAAAGGTTATATGATTAAATAGCTGAAATGGTTAGCTAAGTAAACATTTTAAAAAGTTTAAATATTTGTTAATTCAACCGTTTAACATTTTTTGAAGGTTTGTTTATAAATGGTAAAGTAAATTAGTTAATTAAATATTTTAGAAGGTTTGTTAATTAAATTCTTTTAAATGTTTATTAATTAAATAGTTTATAGAGATTTTTTTTTAAATTAGAGCAACTGTAGAAGTTAATTTTTAGAGAGTTTCAAAAAAAAAAATGTTTGAAAAAGCCAGGGTGTTGATATTTCTATTTAGAAATTATTTTGGAACATTAGCAAGAGAATTTTTTTTTTATTTTTGCAATGTTAATAAGGATAAAATGGTATGGTACAGTTGCGAATCGTTACTTACATCACTGAGGGTGCTGATTCAGGAGGTATTAGGCTTTCATTAATAGTGAGCAAGACGAAATACATACCGATAGGGAAAGATAACATATATAATGACAAAAGCATGAACAAATATATTTATTCATGGATGTTCTTATGTATGTTTATATATATATTCATTTTAGTTTATACGTACGTATGTCTATATAATTGGGATATTTCAATCATCCTCTACAGTATAAAATAATACTTTACACTAAGCATGATACACTTCACGGAACATGCAATCTAAGTATGATAGACCACAGAGGCCACACACTCTAAGTAAGATAGACAACATAGGCCACACACTCTAAGTAAGATAGACAACAGAGGCCACACACTCTAAGTATGATAGACCACAGAGGCCACACACTCTAAGTATGATAGACAACAGAGGCCACACACTCTAAGTAAGATAGACAACAGAGGCCACACACTCTAAGTATGATAGACAACAGAGACCACACACTCTATAAGTATGATAGACAACAGAGGCCACACACTCTAAGTATGATAGACCACATAGGCCACACACTCTAAGTATGATAGACCACAGAGGCCACACACTCTAAGTAAGATAGACAACAGAGGCCACACACTCTAAGTATGATAGACCACAGAGACCACACACTCTAAGTAAGATAGACAACAGAGGCCACACACTCTAAGTATGATAGACCACAGAGGCCACACACTCTAAGTAAGATAGACAACAGAGGCCACACACTCTAAGTATGATACACTTCACGGAACATGCAATCTAAGTATGATAGACAACAGAGGCCACACACTCTAAGTAAGATAGACAACAGAGGCCACACACTCTAAGTATGATACACTTCACGGAACATGCAATCTAAGTATGATAAACCACAGAGGCCACACACTCTAAGTAAGATAGACAACAGAGGCCACACACTCTAAGTATGATAGACCACATAGGCCATGCACTCTAAGTATGATAGACCACAGAGGACATGCACTCTAAGAATGATACACTACATAGGCTATGCACTCTAAGTATGATAGACCACACGGGCAATATACTCTAAGTATGATACACCACAGGGGCAATATACTCTAAGTATGATAGACCACAGAGGACATGCACTCTAAGAATGATACATTACATAGGCCATGCACTCTAAGTATGATACATCACACGGGCCGTACACTCTAAGTATTATACATCACAGTGGCCACACACTCTAAGTATGATAGATCACACGGGCAATACACTGTAAGTATGATACACCACAAGGGCCGTACACTCTAAGTATTATACACCACATGGGCCGTACACTCTAAGTATGATACACCAGAGGGGCGATATACTCTAAGTATGATACACCACAGGGGCAATATACTCTAAGTATGATACATCAGAGGGGCAATATACTCTAAGTATGATACACCTATAGTCTGGTTTCTTTAAAATTCTTAGTGCACTGATAGTTTCTGGCTTCTATAAGTATCTTAGTGCACTGATAATTTTTATTTTCTTTATCTTAGTGCACTGTTAATGTCTAGTTTCTATACCTTAGTGCACTGTTATTGTCTGGTTTTTATAACTATCTTAGTGCACTGATAATATCTAGTTTCTACATCTTTGTTAATGTCTGATATCTATATGTTAATGCACTTTTAATGTCTGGTTTCTATATCTCAATGATACAGCGGCTTACTGGTCAATTTTGTTGTTACCAAAACACAATGGGGCTTAAACGCATGCTTCAAGGCTGAGGCTAGGGATTCAATCAATCCCAACAGAAAGTATGGAGGTGTAGTACCAGAGGCTTTGTGACTTTAAACTCAATGCACACACCAGTTACACCATGCGACGCCGCTGTGCAAAGTTGTAGCCCCCATTATTGAGATGTTCTCTTCCGTTCCCTAGCTGCGAGAAAAAGGGTAATCAGCTGAATGGGTGTTGACTCATGCGATGTTTAGAACTGCTCTCTCACATATGAACAATGTTTAGAACTGCTCTCTCACATACGCACAATGTTTAGAACTGCTCTCTCACAGATGCATGAGTTGTGTAGACCTGCTCCATAACCCATGAATGTATGTTTTACATAAAATGCCCTCTTTAAGGCCCTAAACTTATTTATATTTAGTCGATTTATATGTGTACCCTTCTCCTAAAATATTTCATATCATCCCCTCTATTCTCCTAATCTCCATACACAATGTAAGCACCAAAATGAAATTGTTTTCTACCAGAGACTCCATCCAGACACATGGCCATTTTTGAATAAAAAATTATTTTTAAAACCTATGAGTCCCATTCTGATGTAGGCTGCAGCCATGCTGAAACCGCTTTTGCTGACCATCAGAACATCGCATGACGTCATTAACAGCAGCTGTTCTACCAGGGCTGTTTTAAGGCCCTCTCTCTTATCTTGGCCCTTCATAACGGATGCTATGTGGACTAGTGGTGCGTCCAGGTTGTGGATTCTTCCGCCGAACAACGCCTTCCCATTGGTCCGCACCTGGAGACATAATGTGGGTTAAATAGTTCCTGTTTGTAAATAGTTCATCTTGTGACACATTAAAACTATAGCATACAAGCTAGTGACTATTAAATAAGACTCTATGGATCATATAATAGGTGCTATCTATGTTCTTGGTGAAATTTCCCAAAACTGTGTTGCCTAGAAGAAGACTCAAACAAGAAAACAAAAATGAAGGCACACAGTTGTGAGCATTTCGTGATAAAACTGTTTTTACAACCATAACAACGAGGAATGAGGAATTGTTAGGAAATACTTAAGAACTTTATCTCACCTTGTCACTGTCAGTTGCCAGGTAGACATGATGACCTTTCTCCACGTACGGTCTCAGAAAATCCCAAACCTTGCTAACACTGTCAAAACTATTTCTCCTGTCGTTCTCAAACGGGAGGGTGTCACTGTGCCCCATCCTTACATGGGCACAGACTAATCTAAGATTTGCCACGGCATATCCATTAAGGTCATTAATTTTGTCCAAAGTAATGCCAGGTGTCAGAGACGGGTTTGCTGTAACTTTGGTGTTGTTCCCATCTCTATGGATTTGTGTACAGTTGGTGCAGGACTGACTCTCTGATGAATTCCCTATCATGGCCTTAGCTATAGTCACCAATACTTCATTGAGCTTAGTCCGTAACTCCAGGGTGGGTCTTGTAAGCTTGAGCCAAGCATTGGCGAATATATTGCAACGTCTTCCTCGCGCCCAGTCGGGGAACTTCCGTTTGTAGTAAGGATTGAGTTTGATGGATCGCCAGATCTCCTGGTTGGTCCTGACGTAGACCACGTCTTGGGGATACGCTTCGTTAAAGTTGATGTGGTTGAGTTCAGCGGTCTGTGTCTTAAAGTACTGAATGGAGATTGACACATTTAAAGTATTTAAAGTAATGGCGATATTTCAGTAATTGTCGAAACTATACAAGTAAATTAGCATTATTTTTAACTATTTAATGAATTGTTTATATATATATATATATATATATATATATATATATATATATATATATATATATATATATATATATATATATATATGTTACTCTATAGAGAGAATATATATATATATATATATATATATATATATATATATATATATATATATATATATCCATATATATCCATATTTATGTTACACTAGGAAGAGAGCTAAAGATCTTCTAAGTATTATACTAGTCATTAATGTGTTGAGTGGCTTCTGATGTGTCAATAGTAGACCAGTCATTGATGTGTTTAGGGTCTTCTAGTGTGTCAATATTAGACTAGTAATTTAATGTGTTTAGTGTCTATCAGTGTTTCAGCGTTAGACTAGTCATTATTGTGTTTTAGTGTCTACTGTGCGTCTATGTTGCACTAGTCATTAAGGTGCATTAGTGACTACTGGTGCATATATTAGACCAGTCAATAATGGGCATTAGTTACTACTGGTGCGTCTATGTTAGATCAGCCATCAAGGTGCGTTAGTGACTACTTGTGTTTGAGTACAAGAGTATATAGTTTGCATGAGATTATCCAAGTTTCTCCAAGGTAATATTTCTAAAAGTTATAATCAATAGCTTGGACATGTTGGATTTTTAAGATCCATAATTTACAGAATATATGTTTAGGAAAGCCACAGATTTTGACTTTTGTGAAGCCACAAGCATGTGTTCTGTTAGAAGATGACTTCTACAAAGTTAATACATCGTCCATTTAGGATGAGACACAACACAAATTAAGTCACAAGTTTCTATTTGGATACTTTTAAAAATAATACAAGACTTTCAAATACTCTACTTTAATATCCTAACTCTATAACTGTGCTGATTTATTGATAAGCTCGTGTTCCGATTTGCCCCAAATACCGTACCTTAATGATTGTAGTTGATTTATTGATAAGCTCGTATTCCGATTTGTCCCAAATATCGTACCTTAATGATTGTAGTTGATTTATTGATAAGCTCGTGTTCCCATTTGTCCCAAATACCGTACCTTAATTATTGTAGTTGATTTATTGATAAGCTCATGTTCCGAGATGTCCCATAGAACTTTGTTTGGCTCATAGAAATCTCTGAATGGCGCAGGTGCTGTCATTTTGATACCAAACTGACGATTGGTCACTTCGGACAGAATGAAGACACCAATCAAACCACGCTGACGGTCTCCCAGGCCGTAGCAATAAGCATCGCCATCACAAAGGTAGATTAGGTAACGTTTCTTGGGCTTAGTATCTGCTGCAATCTTTGAAGCTTGACTGGACGCATTGGTCCATAGCTGACTAGACGCAGGGGTCCATAACTGACTAGAAGCATTGGTCCATAGCTGACTGGAGGCATTGGTCCAAAGCTGACTGGAGGCATTGGTCCATAAATGATTAGAAGCATTGGTCCATTGCTGACTGGGAATCCTTGGTATCGGTAGGTTGGTGATATTAGGGACAGACGATTTATATCTATAGTAAACAATATTTGTAAAATCGTAATTTCATACTCAGACAAGATCCATAAACTATTGAGCAACAGATAACAATGCATGTCAAAAGGGGGGTTGGATGCGCAGATTGCACAGAGTGTCACCAAAAGAATGAGACGGGAGAGGTTTACTAGGGTAAACATTCAGGGTTTCAATTTCAAATTGTTCTCTTACAATAGATTTGATACTCACCTATGTTTATTTCTCCCAAGCTCACCTTCCCGTCTCACCTTCTAGTCTCACTTTCCAGTCTCACGATTCAGAATCACATCCCTAGTCCCACCTTGCAGTCTTACCACCCAGTCTCACTTTACAGCATCACTTTCAAAGCTAATCTCAGTCTCACCTTCCAGTTCAACTTTCCAGTCCCACCTTCCAGTCCCACCTTCCAGTCTCACCTAGCACTCCCACCTGCCAGTCTCACCCCCAGTCTCACTGTCAAAGCTCAACATCCATGATCACCTAAAAGGCTAACCTTCCAAAATCAACGCATAGGTTTCCCCAATTCCCTTGTCTAACTTTCTTTAAATCTACAAAGGTTATGCCAAATTATTCAAATTGCTTGGTGTATCAATCACTAAAAGGTCAGATATCACCGAACCTGTTGAATGTTTCCAACCTCCAGCTGTCCAGGTAACGGTGAGGTTTGTCCACTAAATGGTAAGAGATGACCACTAGAATGCTGACTGCAATGATCAGTACAACAACAGAGGTACGTCTACAGCTGTGGGCAAAATAGATCAGTACAGTGCATGGTATCATTCATTCTGACTTTGTATTGTATCATTAATTTTAAGTTTTTATTATATCATTAATTTCGACATTGCATTGTATCATTATTTCTAAAATTGTATTGTATCATTAAATCCAACATTTTTATTGTATCATTACTTCTAAAATTGTACCTTATCATTAATTCTACAATAGTATTATATCATAATTATTACAAAAGTGTTCGCAACTGTGAACGTCCAACAAGAAAAGAAATTTAAACAGTTTTTTTTTTCTTTTCTGGTTGTGAGTGTTGGGGGAGTTTTGACATGTAGTCTCTGACATAAGAAATTTAAGGCTTTTGTGAGCAATGTGAGATAAGAAATGTAAGGCTTTTGTGAGCAATGTGAGATAAGAAATGTAAGGATTTTGTGAGCAATGTGAAATAAGAAATGTAAGGCTTTTGTGAGCAATGTTAGATAAGAAATGTAAGGCTTTTGTGAGCAATGTTAGATAAGAAATGTAAGGCTTTTGTGAGCCATGTGAGATAAGAATGTAAGGCTTTTGTGAGCAATGTTAGATAAGAAAGGTAAGGCTTTTGTGAGAAATGTGAGATAAGAAATGTAAGGCTTTTTTAAAGGGGTGAGTCATGTTAGATGGGTCATTTTCATTAGTAAACAGTTATTGTTGATCTATTGATTGCAATACAAATAGAGTCACACATATTTTTTTTTCCAGGGAGGTAGGTAACTTATGAGATTGCTAACTTGTGAGGTGTTTACCTGGGAAGATAAGCACCTGGGGTAAGTACCTGGGGGAGGTTGTTGCTTGGGGAGGCAGGTACCTGGGAGGTGAGGACCTTGTGAGGTAGTACCCAGGAGTGGTAGGTACCTGAGAGGTAGGTACATTGCAAGGTATTTACCAGGGGGGGGGGGAATGTACATGTGAGTTTAGGTGCTGTGTTGTTCGTCCGTCGAAGTCGACTAGGACCATCGGGTCATCCGGTTAGGGCGAGGTTGGGATTACGCTGAGCTCGTAGGTGGCTTGCTAGACCGATCAGTGCTCGGAATAATCTATGACACCGAGGGCATGGAATAGTTGCTTCAGATGGTGACCTAATGTTGCTATTTGGGACAAGCCTGCGTGTCTCAGCTGTGGTTATTCTATTAGCTTCATGGGATTTAGCCCCCTTCTTGACAGCAACTCTCCACCTGGCTCTGTCCTGGGCTGTCTGCACCCATTGAGTAGGGTTTATGCTGAAGGCCTTTAGTGCCACTTTCAGTGAGTCTTTGTAACGCTTTTTTTTTTAACCTCCTTGGGAGCGCTCGCCAATCGTGAGTTATCTGAAGAATAATTGTTTTGGAGCCGGTGTTCTTGCATATGGGCTACGTGTCCCATCCGACAGAGCTGAGACTTCATCAGAGTAGTAAAGATAATAGGTAAGTTCACTCTACCAAGGACCTTGGTTTCGGGGACTTTGTCTTGCAACCTGGTATTGAGGAGTTTCCTGAGGCAGGTAGTGTGAAAATGATTCAGTTTATTGGCGCGACGCTGGTAGACTGTCCACGTTTCACATCCATAGAGCAGGACTGCTGAGCTATAGACCTTGAGCTTTGTTTCGCGACTGATACCTCTCCTGTCCCAAACAGTGCTGCGGAGCCTGCCAAATAGGGCACTAGATTTTGAGAGTCTGCCATTCATTTCATCATTCATGACGACAGATCTAGAGAGGGTGCTGCCCAAGTAAGTAAATTTATCCACCGGGTTGAGACAATGTCCACTGATGATGATATTGGGTTCAACGTAAGGCTTACATACTGATCCATCAGTACGAAACCGGACTGGCAAGCCCGTGGTGGAGTCCTTAAACCCATTACACAGCATTGTGAAATACATAATACTGAAGAGTGTGGGAGCAAGAACACAACCCTGGTTTACACCGATTTTGACGGGGAATGCTTGAGATGATTGACCATTGTCATGCACTCGGGCCATCATACCATCATGCAGCTGACGGATGATGTTGGTGAACTTGTCTGGGCATCCGTATTTCTTCATGATTTTCCACAGGCCGCCTCTATTGACCCTGTCAAATGTCTTTTTCAAGTCGATAAATGTAGACTATAGGTATGTATATTGTTCCTGGCATTTCTCTTCAAGCTGTCTAGCAGCAAACGCCATATCGACAATTCCGCGTTTTTTGCGGAAACCGCATTGACTTTCGGGTAGGAGACCTAGCTCCAGATGTGCATTCAGGCGTTTCAGAAGGGCTCGGGCCAAGATCTTGCCTGCAATGGACAGTAGTGAAATTCCGCGGTGATTGTCGCATGTCTGGTGGTTACCTTTGTGTTTGTACAGGTGGATGATTGAGGCATCCTTGAGGTCTTGTGGTACAGTTTCCGTCCGCCAGATGATTTGGAATAAACGCAATAGCTTACCCGTCAGCGCTGGTCCACCCTCCTTGTAGATTTTGGCAGGAATCATGTCGAGGCCAGGTACTTTGCCATTGGACATTGGGCGGATCGCTGTCTGTATCTCATCAAATGTTGGTACGGCGTCCAGTGAATTGTTCGTTGGGACCTGGGGGAGTCTTTCAATGACCTCATCATGAATTTAGGTACTCTTGAGGTGGTTACCTGTGGAGGAAGGAACATTGGAAGGTAGGTAATTGGGGAGGTAGATACATTGGGAGGTAGGTACATGGGGAGGTATTTACCTGGGGATTTGGGTACCTTGTCTGATAGTAACCTTGAGAGGTAGGTATATTTTAAGGTGATTACCTGGGGAAGAAGTTATCTCTGGAGGAAGTTATTTGTAGAGGTAGGTAACTGTAAAGGTAGGTCTAGAACATTGGAAAGTTCAGCTTAGGGTTGGGTATGTTTTGATAAACTATGTCTTGTAAATGGGAGTGTTGTAGAAGGATGTAGTGTTATAAGCAACGTTAAAAGCAGTGTCGCAGTCCGATGTTGTGTTTAAAGCAGTGTTACAGTCGTATGTTTAAATAGAAAAGATAGCATGACAGTGCAGTGATGATAGCATTACGTTTAGATGTTGATAGTATTACAGGAGAGAAGGCTAGATAGTAGGAAATAAGTCAAACAAATTTTGGGAAAATGTCAAAAAACACGACGCAACAAAATAACGAACGTGTCGGCAAGAAGCCTATTCTTCAGCAAACAACTAACAGTAAAATACATTTAAAATGTAATATAAACACTAGCTAGTATCCGAGAGGACAGCAAGAAGAATTAAATAGATTATTAGTATGTAAGAGAGTTAATATATGTAATAAGGGAAAGGTCAAATAAGTCCACAGTAATTGGTCGTAACAAGGAAGGGTGGAGAAAAGTTTTAACAAACGAAGGCGAACATTTATGCCATGTGTTTAAAGGTCATATAAGTCTATATCAGTGTATTCTGTGATCAGCCTACGGACTTGTTAATACGGCACACAATGTTGGTGATGAAAAAGTCGCTGGAGCCCTTGTGGTCGCTTCTATTGAAGTTTTGTCTCAAAAGTCTTTGTCATCGAACCTAATGACCTGACTTTATGACCGGACTTTACAACGGGAAATCTATAAATCTTAATTCGTAATATTCGAGGAAACTCATTGAAAGTTATAGAAACATCAAACACATAATAAGGACATTTATATAACTCAAAACAGTTATGAATGAATATCAAAACTTGACAGAAAGGTAAAGAAATTCATGGAGCTTAACTAAAATTTGCATGGGACATTTGATTATTCTAAAAACCGTCCAAGAAAAATTGAAACTTCCAGAAAAACCCAGTAACTTCAAAAAACGTAAAAATAGAAAAATTACCTATACTGAGAAAATTACAAGGAAAGTATAAAACTATTTTGACTAAACTTAGATTTCCATAAGCTTTTGGATCCTAATAATGTGTACCCCCAAGGAAAAATATAGAATTTTCTAGAAAATTGTTTATTTATCTTATGACTAACCCTTACAATGACAATAGCCACTTCCCTTTTTGTTGGCCATTAGTCTACATAAATCCTTAAGTCCAATTTTTTTCGTCCCGACTAAGTCGTAACATTAAATTCTTGTCCACACAGAACGTTATGCATTGTTGTTTTTGAGTCTTGTATGTGTGGCGTGGTTAGGTCGATATTTTCTTGACTTAACACCGGACCTAACGACAGGAAATACGTTAGAGCAAATTCCTGTCTCTTTTTCATCGTTGACAACTAAATATATTTTTAAAAATGAAGGATTGTTTATAGATTTAGGTAACACCCTTCTCAATGAGGGATTTTGTTGAGATGAAGGTAACATACTTCACAATGAGGGATTTGTTAAGATGAAGGTAACACACTTTACAATTAGAGATTTTTTGAGAATGAAATGTAACACAATTCACAATGAGGGATTTTGTTGGGAAAAGGGTAACACACTTCATAATCATGGATTTTGTACCAAAATTTTATTTTTCTCGATGTTTCAAATTGCTAAACTAATTCAATTATATTTGTATCATTGCTAAACTAATTCAATTATATTTGTATCCATTGCTAAACTAATTCAATTATATTTGTATCCATTGCTAAACTAATTCAATTATATTTGTATCCATTACAAACGCCCTGCCCAGCACACTCCCTGGGGGATTTTTGGAGGTCTTATATAAGGATCATAACGAAGCCAGCCATTATGTTGTCACCAATGCCTCTGATCTTATTTTTATCTTTACCCTCATGGAACCTTGAACCATGTTCCTTCCTAAACTAGTTTCAATTTAATGTCATTTCATTAACGCAAATTATGTTTTATAAAGATGAAGCGTCCAACGGTTGCCTACCCCTTATTTTTGTTTTGATATTGACGTCACCGATTCGTTGTTTAGCGCTGTACCACACCCTCCTCTCCCTTGATTGGGAAAAGTTTTTTTTTTACATTCTATTGTGTTGCAAAGAAGGCTATCAGGAAATGCAACTACTAGAATTTCTAAAAGGTTCCAACTCCGTCTATAAAAATAAGCCAACAGTTTTCCAGCCTGAATCGTTAGAGATTTTCGCTAATTTCCCTAGACATTTATGAGATGTAATCTATTTATAGAAGCCTTACAAGATTGCTCTATTACTATTTGTGTCTGTGTCGCTATTAATATTTGGATCTTTCGAGGATTATACTCTTTCACGGCTATACTGTAAGTTAATAGAGATTTTATTTCTGTATATGTGATATTGATTTTTTATAAGAACTTAATAGTGTAATCAATTGAATAGTGTTTATATTATTCGCTTGGGTATCGCTTTTCTTTGTTCACTGCTTTTCATTTCCTTGCTATTTATCGTTCAACAAACGGGCCAAATATTAAAACAGATTAAATTCACAAAACTTAATAATAGTAAGTAACATTACATATTGTTGCGTACCGTTATAAGTGTAGAGAATTTAATCTCTTATTTTACTCTATGGCTCGTGTCAAAAAGTACATAACAAAAGACGATACCATAAATTAAATACAGTAATACAGAAATAATACCCAAAATAGGGCTATTTACGATTAATAACTTTATTAGGTTACATTTAAAATTACATAATCCAAACGTATTAAAGCTAAAGATATTGACTTACAGTACAGTGATGACTTGTACCGGTACGATGTTGAAGAAGGAACATACGCTCACATGGTAAATATTAATAAACAAATCTTTGTCTCGTATCGCAATGGCAAATCTCGATCAGCTCAATCTGTCTCCGCTCATCCCTTCTCTCTCTAGATCGATACGGATATGTATAGTCTTTTGTAGAGCCTTGTCTAGAGAGGGCTTACACATTATTTCACTATCTCGAAAAGTCTCGATATTTCTACAGAATTCTAATTAGAAAGACTATAGCTTGTTTTTACTCGTAGACAAGGTCAAAGGAGACTATTTGTCGTTAAGCCACACCCCGTCGCGGTGCCGAACTTGGGGTCAGTTAAAGTTCATACGCGTGAAAAGATGACTTAATATAAGACGCCTCTAATAATATATAGATATAAGATAAGAATGGTTGGGTTCAGATTTATGTAGATAGATATAGCATAAGAACTGTACAGTTTAGATTTATGTAGATAGATATAGCATAAGAACTGTACAGTTTAGATTTTTATGATTAGATAAAATATAAGAATTGTCTAGTTGTCCAGTTTAGATTTATATCGACAGATATAAGAATTGTAAGGTTCATATTTATTTTAACAAGACTTTTAACGGAGAATTTAGATAACTGTATTTTATCCCCAGCATTTGATACGTTTATTCGAGCATGAGAATTAGATATGTTTACTAAAGCGTGACAAAGAGATGTGTAATGTAGCAAGAGGTATATTTTTGAGGTGATTTGTCTTGCGAGAGATGAGTCTTGCAGGGGCAGATACATTTATGAGATGATAATTTAAACTGAGCTTGAAACCCTTCCTAACTACGCCTTATTTTTGTATAGCGAGGAAATATTTACAAAAAGCTTGCAATTGACATACAAACCTGTTATTGAGTTTCATATTATGATTTTTAATATCTGACGAAATAAGTTATTCTGGAACTGATTTTTCTTCCTTCAAATTCACTATGAAAGTAAAACACGCACAATGATTCCTCGACCTGATGTAAACACACTATTAAAATAATGTGTCATTCTCAAATAGTGCAACGAATTATAGGATTGATCAGTTCTGGTGCACACCTACACTAAGCAAGCGTGTATGTCTACCACGCCTAGGTGCTGTGTATGATTGCCATACAGTGTTTGGGCCTGTGTACGCAACGATTCAAAGGCCTTTGTACAAAACACAGCATGGCTATGAATAGTTTGAGATACCAAGCGAAACCACTGGATTTGGAGCGAGAGGCCTTGGCAAGGGGGATAATCCATTTCAATGGAATACTTGCTAAGGATCACATTGAGAACCTCCGTGCGACGATGTCACAGAAGCAGCGGCGTAACGAGGGTTAGTGATGTCACATATTCCAGCGGCGTAACGAGGGTTAGTGATGTCACATATTCCAGCGGCGTAACGAGGGTTAGTGACGCCGGGGCTATGCTTCCCGGAGTGTATCCAAGAGGGGAACCGGGCTGGGTTACCATAGTGTATCCAAGAGGAGAACTGGGTTAAAGTTCCCATAGTGTATCCAAGAGGAGAACCGGGCTAGGTTACCATAGTGTATCCAAGAGGAGAACCGGGTTAACGTTTCCATAGTGTATCCAAGAGGAGATTAGGGTTAAAGTTACCATAGTGTACCCAAGAGGGGAACCGGGTTAAAGTTCCCATAGTGTACCCAAGAGGAGAACCGGGCTGGGTTACCATAGTGTACCCAAGAGGAGAACCGGGTTAAAGTTCCCATAGTGTACCCAAGAGGGGAACCGGGTTAAAGTTCCCATAGTGTATCCAAGAGGAGAACCGGGCTGGGTTACCATAGTGTATCCAAGAGGAGAACCGGGCTGGGTTACCATAGTGTACCCAAGAGGGGAACCGGGTTAAAGTTCCCATAGTGTATCCAAGAGGAGAACCGGGCTGGGTTACCATAGTGTATCCAAGAGGAGAACCGGGTTAAAGTTCCCATAGTGTACCCAAGAGGGGAACCGGGTTAAAGTTCCCATAGTGTACCCAAGAGGGGAACCGGGTAAAGGTCCTATAGTGTATCCAAGAGGAGAACCGGGTTAAAGTTCCCATAGTGTATCCAAGAGGAGAACCGGGTTAAAGTTCCCATAGTGTACCCAAGAGGGGAACCGGGTTAAAGTTCCCATAGTGTATCCAAGAGGAGAACCGAGTTAAAGTTACCATAGTGTATCCAAGAGGAGAACCGAGTTAAAGTTTCCATAGTGTATCCAAGAGGAGAACCGGGTTAAAGTTCCCATAGTGTATCCAAGAGGAGAACCGGGTTAAAGTTACCATAGTGTATCCAAGAGGAGAACCGGGTTAAAGTTCCCATAGTGTATCCAAGAGGAGAACCGGGCTGGGTTACCATAGTGTATCCAAGAGGAGAACTGGGTTAAAGTTCCCATAGTGTATCCAAGAGGAGAACCGGGCTGGGTTACCATAGTGTATCCAAGAGGAGAACCGGGTTAACGTTTCCATAGTGTACCCAAGAGGGGAACCGGGTTAAAGTTCCCATAGTGTACCCAAGAGGGGAACCGGGTTAAAGTTCCTATAGTGTATCCAAGAGGAGAACCGGGTTAAAGTTCCCATAGTGTATCCAAGAGGAGAACCGGGTTAAAGTTCCCATAGTGTACCCAAGAGGGGAACCGGGTTAAAGTTCCCATAGTGTATCCAAGAGGAGAACCGAGTTAAAGTTACCATAGTGTATCCAAGAGGAGAACCGAGTTAAAGTTTCCATAGTGTATCCAAGAGGAGAACCGGGTTAAAGTTCCCATAGTGTATCCAAGAGGAGAACCGGGTTAAAGTTACCATAGTGTATCCAAGAGGAGAACCGGGTTAAAGTTCCCATAGTGTATCCAAGAGGAGAACCGGGTTAAAGTTCCCATAGTGTATCCAAGAGGAGAACCGGGTTAAAGTTCCCATAGTGTATCCAAGAGGAGAACCGGGCTGGGTTACCATAGTGAATCCCAGAAGGAACCGGGTTAGAATTCCCATAGTGCATCCAAGGGGGGAATATTTCCTCTTTTGCAATAAAAATAAAATATCCTCCAGCAATCTTTTAAAAAACTTTGTTATTATGACTAAGTAAATTTATTACTATGATACGTAATTTTATTACTATGACTACGTATTTTTATTAAATATGACTGAGTAACTTTATTACTATCTTCTTATATATATAAAAATGAATGTTTGTATGTTTGTCTGTATGTATGTATGTCTGTATGTCTCGTATGCGCTCCTACACCATTCATGCGATTGCGACAAAACTTTACACAGTTGTTTTTCACATAACCGGCCATTTTACTGATACATTAAAAACCTTATCAAGTGTTCTGTTCCTAGCCGTTGGCCCTTAATTCGTTTTTTTCTTATATGAGCTTTGTAAAATATTTTCCCCATGCGCTCCTACACCATTTATTCGATTCATATAAAACTTTGAGGAAATGTTGCGAGCATGTCTACAAACATTTCTAAATTATTACAATCGTTTTAAATTATTCAGTTTTGAGCCAGGGGCCTCACATTCGTTTTTCTTAATATGAGCTTTATAAATATATTATCAAACCGTTTGCGCTCCTACACCAATCTAGCGATTGCTACAAAACTTAGTGAGTTGTTGTCCATACGTCAGTGCATTTTACTGTGTTATTTAAACACTTTTAAAAACATTCTGTTTTCGGCCGTTGGCCCTTAATTCGTATTTTTAGTTAAATGCGCTTTGTAAAAAATAATTTTCATATGCGCTCCTACGCCATTTATCCGATTCCAATAAAACTTTGGTGACATGTTGCAAGCTTCTCTATAAAGGTTTATAAATATTACAACCGTTTTAAAGTATTCATTTTTGAGCCAGGGGCCTCATATTCGTTTTTCCTAATATGAGCTATATAAATATATTTTCAAACCGTATGCGCTCCTACACCAATCATGCGATTGCTACAAAACTTAGTCAGTTGTTGTTCATGCACCAGTTCATTTTACTGTGTTATTTAAACACTTTTAAAAACATTCAGTTTTTGGCCGTTGGCCCTTATTTCGTATTTTTTCTTATATGAGCTTTTTAAAAAATAATTTTCATATGCGCTCCTACGCCATTTTTTCGATTCCGATAAAACTTTGGTCAGATGTTGCAATTATGCCCATAAATGTTTCTAAATTATTACAACCGTTTTAAATTATTCAATTTTGAGCCAGGGGCCTCATATTCGTTTTTCCTAATATGAGCTATATAATTATATTTTCAAACCGTATGCGCTCCTACACCAATCATGCGATTGCTACAAAACTTAGTCAGTTGTTGTTCATGCACCAGTTCATTTTACTGTGTTATTTAAACACTTTTAAAAACATTCTGTTTTCGGCCGTTGGCCCTTAATTCGTATTTTTTGTTATATGAGCTTTGTAAAAAATAATTTTCATATGCGCTCCTACGCCATTTATCCGATTGCAATAAAACTTAAAACTTTTGTGAGATGTTAGAAGCACGGCCGCGAAGGTTTTTAAATTATTATAAACTTTTCAAAATATTCCAATTTTAGCCAGCGGCCTTATTTACGTTTTTTTTCTTATACGAACTATATAAATATAATTTCAAACCGTATGCGCTCCTGCACCATTCACGCGATTGCGACAAAACTTTGACGAGTTGTTATCTATAAACATAACCATTCATTGACCCAAATTCTTATTTTTTCTTATATGCGCTTTGTAAAAAATAATTTTCTATGCGCTCCTATACCATTTTTCAGAATGCGATAAAAATTTAGTGAGATGTTGTTCTATCGCCCACAAAAATTCTTAAATTACTACAACCGTTTTAAAATATTCAGTGTTGAGCCAGGGGCCCTATGTTTGTTTCTTACAAAATGAGCTATATAAATATAATTTCAAACCGCATGCGCTCCTACATCATTCAAGCGCTTGCGATAAAACTGAGGTGAGTTGTTGTCCAAGAGCCAGAGCATTTTTCTAAGCCATTATAACTCTACTAAAATATTCCGTTTTTTTGGCAATCGCCCAAAATTCGTGTTTTTTTCCTTACATTAGGAGCTTTATAAAAAATAATTTCCGTATGCGCTCCTCTACATTATTACAATGCGATAAAATTTTAGAGAGATGTTGTGCGCGCGCCCGCCCGCAAAGGTTTCTTAAATGATTACAACCATTTTAAAATACTCCGTTTTTAGCCAGGGGTCCTATGTTCGTTTTTTCTATATAAGCTATACAACTATAATTTTAAGCTATACAACTATAATTTCAAACAGAGCTAAAGCATGAATGGATAGCTTTTTAATCAAATACAAATAGTGATATTAAATTGAGTGTGTTACATATTAAGTAGGTTTCTGAAGTAATACAACAATTCTACAATATTCCATTTGTGGAGGGGGGTCCTAAATTCGTTTTCCACACTTCTATTATCTGTATAATTATAGTATGCATTTCTATACCATTCATTCGATTGTGATCAAACTGGGTCAAGTGAAATGCGCACTACCGAAAATGTTTCTAAATTAGAAAAAAAATATTTTACAATATTCCGTTTGGGCCAGTGACCCTAATTTTATATTTTCTTCTAAGAGCTTTGTAACTATATTGCATGTGTTGAAGTAGCTGAATCCGCCGGCAAATTTTTCAAATTTAGTACATCCATTGTACAATATTCCAATTAGGGCTGGGGACTCTAAATTCAATTTATTTTCTTAAATGAGCTTCGTCAATTAAATTTATAACGGAGATATCAACACTACCACCCTTGAACAAATTACACATTTGTAGTAAAGCAGAGAAAACACGTTTTTACATTTTTAGTGTAGAGATTATTTTTGTTATGTGTATAAATAAGCTTGAATTTTGTGACGCATTTTAGAATCGGAAATGACATCGAATTCGCGTTTTGTTTTTCAACTAAGAGTATTTCTTGAATAGAGTCTTATAATTTCGGAGTTGTTTTGTGTTATGTAAATACATTTTACACCAATCGATGGTTTCTCAAGCAATTAAATAACACACTTTACAGCGTAGATATTGAACTATGGTCATTTTTTACCGCTGGAATTTACGATTTATAAATTAATGAGAAACTATACAACTGGAAATCTCCTGCCAACAATGAACGT